TWKRWAAAAWWMSCCRWAAAAYSCCRWAWTTTRKAKCKRTTTTTCCRTAAAAARCCCKKGTTTTTCTCGAAAAAAATCCTAATTTTCCCCCTAAATATTACTAATAGGTGACCAACATGCCTGACAGTAGCACCACATGTGTTACAAAGACTGTTGCAAAAACAGTGTTAGAGAAGCTCTTGACTGTTAAAAAAATTCCCCTTTTTAGCAATTTGGGAATGTATAAAGAACTGTATGGAGAATATGCATGCTGATGTTAGGGTGTAAAGGTTTGACCACACTCAGTAAAAAGGTCTGCTAGTTTTTATTGAATACTGTCAAATCACTTTTCATCAATCCTTGTAAATCATTGGACTTATTCTATGCATGCTCCTATATATCTCTCACTGAACTTTATATATTAATATAAAAGGTATACCACCACTCTTGCAGGTTTCAAGGCTAGTATGCAGTTGAAAAGACAAGCCTCCATGACATCAACAGACAAGTTGTAGAATGGAAGGTGGTATATAATTGTATCTTTCCTTAGATCAAGATACATCAATTACAAATGGTTTGAATTAGCCTAGTGATCACAGCAGTAAAGTAAGTCACAGTAACTAGTTTGAAGGCAATTTCTCACTGAGAATCTTTAAAACCTTGCTGGATAGAGAAGGCAGTTTTATGCTCCACACACCCATAGTTTCTCCATCAACACTTGGATAGCAAACCAGAATCAGGGGCTGCTGTCTTCACTAAAGCTTGGACCTCTCTAAAGTTGGGATGTTTGGCATCCCCCAACAGCATGAAGAGAGCACATTCACTAGTTGTCACAATAGCACCCATTTCACGGAGTCGCTAGAGAAGACAACAATGAAATCTTATCAACAACATATTTTAGCAAAAGCCTGATTTGAAGTATTTCTCAAAGTGAAACTAGTCACCGACTCAGGAGTGGTCAGTCATGTGCTGTAACTGGACATTCAATTGTGACAACCACAGACTTGATAACAAAACAGTATATGTAACATGTGTAAAATTATACAAACTAATCATTCACAAGAAAACTTGGAATCATCAGGGTTTTCAAAAAGTCAGGGAGTAGATGGCTGGCTGTATAGTTTAGATGGCTGACAATTCAAGAGCCCCTTCCCGGGGTCTTGGGGCTTGCTCCCCCACAAAATATTATGTTACTTTGAAATGTTACTTTGAAATGTAGACTTGGAAAGACTATTTTATGCTCTCTTTTGGAAGTATATGCAAAGCAATAAGGTGGTTGGTTGGCCAGGTTAACACAGACCAGGAAGCGATTGTAAGAATGCTCAACCAGCAAGAAAATGTAAAAGCATAATTACATGACTTGTATGATTTTCCTAAAATGCAAAAGTGAATTTTCCCAGAGTGGTCTGTCCCTGAGTTTTTTTTAGTAGTGGTGACTTGTTTTATTTTTATCACATTTTATTGTTCACTACACACATATTGATCTATTGAAAGGCTGTGGTTCAGAAATCAAGGCAGCTAGTTTTCAAGCCAGTGGCTGGCTCTTAATAAGAACCCTGAATCATTATTTAATAACACTTACTGAATTGTGAATAAATTACCATTTGTTCAGACTTAATTATTAATTTTAGGATTTTTTACTTTCTCTACCCTAGTACATCTAATTCTTTGATGAAGCTTTCAAAATGGCATAATTACTTGTATTACCTCAAGAGCAAACATTCTTTCAACCATAGTGCGTGACGAGACCCCATCAGCCAGAACATGAACAGTATAATTCTTTTCAAGCAAATCCATAGTTGTCTGTAGTACACATACTTGAGTCTGTAAATAAATACTCACACTAGTACTGTTACTTAATAAATTCCCATTGAAGAATAATTTGAAAAGAAGTATTTACTTTTACATTGAATCATGATTGATTTTCAACTCCAGTCAAACATTTACAAAAAAAAAGTAAGGTAATTTAATTTTGGTTTTATCAGTTGAGTATAAATAATGGATATTGACCACTGTAAAGAGTTTCAAAGCTGACATTTCGAGTGTTAGTCCTTCATCAGTGCCCTTCCTCATTCACTCTGATGAGGGGTTAACTCTCAAAATGTCAGCTTTGAAACTTTCTAGGGTGGCCAATTTATGTTATCAACTGAGTTGATATGAACAAATTACCTTCAGTTGTTATACTCCCCCATTAATACTGCACCACAGTTTCTTTAGAAACTTACCCCTTTTATATAAGGAAAAGTAGTAAACTAAAAAAGATTTTCACCAATCAACCACCAAATTCCAGGATGTCTAACACAATCTAGTAATTAGCTTCCTCTGAACATGCAATGTTGGGCAAGTTATTTTTACCTTCTTGTCAAAAGGAAAGAGTATTCTAACCATATTTGAATACACGTAAGGTAAAGGATACAAATACTCTTTTATATACCTCCTTGACAACTTTCATTTTAGAAAATCAACAACATTGCTAGGGTTTCATTGAGGACCAGGCACTGAGCAAATTGACCAGTTGTGAGGTTGTGAGGACGGTTTTGCCCACCTGGTTTGACCATCTGGAGAAAAATTTATCTTAAAAGAAGTTCAATTCAAAAAGTTTTGCCTGCCCGTGAAAACCAGTTGCCCTCTTGCTGAAAACGTTAATGAAACCCCTGCATTGCTGTATTCCAATAATAAAGAAAACCTGATCAAGACCCACATTATACTACAACATCATGCAATTGGGAGAGGAATGAGTATTTATTCTAATACCTACCTCAATACCCATCAATACTACATTCTTAATATTCCGCTGTTTCAGCTGTTCTTCAACTTCGGGTATAACCATGGAAAACTTTGTCTTAGGAAATATCTGCTCCTTGAAGAAATCTGTATCAATTTCCTTCACTGTGTTACCAAGTCCTTTAGGATACTGGAAAACAAATTCAAATACAACTCTTGTCTCTAGCACTGTTATCATGTTGTCTAATAGTTTTATTTCCATTCATGAATTTTGACTAATTGTAACAAGACAACACATTTGACAAATTATTTTTGTTGATTAAATCAATATTTTGACAACAAACCAAACTGAAATCCACTGAGTCCTGTTACAATTTGCTATACAAATATTAATTTGATACCTGTTCTGTAGCTATGACGGGTATATTCATAATCTTGGCCGCTGCTGTCTAACAAATAACAACAACATCAAAGTGTTTATACTGGAGCCATACTTCACAAGCATTTTATAACTATCCATAAAGTTCAATGACTGTTCATCAGCAAATCACCAGGGTGTTGTGGCTAACAATGATTTTATAGATGACCTATACAAAACAGACTGAAGAAATGTGTCTTTCCAGAGACATTGAACTCTCTATAACTCTCTATATCACAGACATCTGTAATTCAGGAGCATACCAACAGCAACATATTCCACCTGTTTTGGGGGGAAGTAAAGTGATTTGATTGTGATGCCCATCGCACATGCAAGGTTTCAAGGGTGATTTTTATGACACACTGCAATAAATAACATCACTGGGACAGTGGAGTAGAATGCAACAACCAGTGAGAAAATTCAATCAAAATATGCCAAACAGCTATTGAAAATCAGCCAATCACAGTAGCGAATAATGATTCCTAAGACAGGGTATACATGTAGTAAGTTAAACCATTTGCCGGAAGGAGGGAAGCAGAATGCAGTGGAAACATCATATAATCTGCATTGCAAGAGACAAGATCATGAAACAACCGATAACATGTTTTGATGTTAAAAGTATAGCTATAGCGAGTATTAAAAATGTGTATCCAGTGATTTTAGGGGGCAGTCTGAGCTACTCAACCGATAATAAAACAGTTATAAAAATTTGAGCCTATAAATCTTGTTTGACCACAATGTCCATCACATGGTAAGGCGTTTAGTTTATGGTGGCGAAAACTCAAGCATTGCGGCGAAAAAAAGGGCTGACATATTTAAGCCTTGGCTTACAAAAAAGTATATTAGAAAAATAGTAATCTATGTTTTCTTTAAGCGTATTTTACTAGAATTGATCATGGTTATATGCTATAGGGCAAATTATTGCGAAACATAAATTTAATTACATCTAATGTCGCCATTGCTTTGCCACGAGACTTACCATTCTTTGAGCCACTTTAATTATCTCAGGAAAGTACCTGATAGACGGTCGGAATTTTTCCTGGATATCACACAGGAAAAACGCCGTGTTATTCACTGCAAGCCTTCCAAGCTTCGCTGCCATTTTGATCCAGTTAACCCGACTAGTGCCAGTCTATTTCCAATTGACCACGACCACGGGCTTCAACTTACTTTTAGTGACGCAAATTAAAAGAGACACAAACCCATGTTCATGAGATGTATTTTCAACTACCTTTTCAAAATGACATTACAATTAGTTCAGTTTCAGATTGTGAGGCTCAACAGATTAACCAACCACCATTATATACAAACAAATGATGAGTGTTCAAAACACGCGGTGTTTTGGAGGCTGACTAAATTTATGAACAGTCCGATAAGTTAAAAGTCAATTCATGACTTTCTCGCGTCAATAGACCAAAGAGCTCCTCGCTGTAACACTGTTACTAAGCTAAAAATACCATTTGAAAAGGACTATTCAAATTTAATTAAGACCAAGCGTTTTCAACAATGACTGTGTTAACGCTACGTTATTTCAATTTACTTAGGGGACGAACGCAGCATGTGATCCTACTCGTCCGACCAGTTAATTGTCTCCATTTTCCGGTCTTCAAAAGGTTTTGTTTCCACGCATTTGGTACATGGGGATCCTATGGCCATATTGAAGTAAGAGGTAAAAATTCTTCGGAGTATTTCTCTGTTAGAAGGTCAAACAGCTGTGAACTACTTAGTACTGACTGTTCATCATTCCATTGGGCAACTACGATGGCGTCCAATTTGTACTTCGCGATGACTTGTTTCATCCTCGATCAGCTAGCTCAAAATGACTTATTATAAATCTGTAAAACCTCGATCCTTCAAGAATATCAGAGGCAAGATATGTCAAAGGTGTATAACGACAAAGTAACTATTAATCGCACCATGTGGTTCTCCGTTCTCCACTTGAACGTGACCTTCAGAATGTTGTTTTTGTTTATAGAAGCTCCCTTCTTTTTCCTCTTTACTGTTAGTGTTCTTGTAATAATAAAAGCAAAATGCAAATATTCCCAGTAAAAGGTAGAATGCAACTGCCACGCACGGAGCAAGGTAAAGCAGGGAACTGTCCATTTTGTTCTTCAAGTCCAACAAAAACGTACTGAAGGTGCGAATTAATTCACCACTTCAATCAGCTCCTATGACTGTTTAATGTGATCTTGACACTGTAAACTTCCATTGTAAACAAAGATTCGCCAAAAGTGGCTGCCAAAAACACGAAAATAGCCCACCTCAGATAGCGGCTATTACGTGTAATTATAACAAGGAAGTTGAAAGGGAAGACGTTTTTACTATATTTTGCGCAAAATGCAGG